GGCTGTCCCGGGGCCAGTTGGATGTTGGCCTGCCCACCTGTTTCTGGGCCTGCCTCTCTCACCTGCCATTTGATCACCTATAAAGCCTCCCAATTGCTCCTACTCCAGCCGAGTGACACGCAGCAATGTTACAGTCGGTAAATCCTGGCCCGATTCTGGTGCACGCTGAACAAGGCTGGGCGAGCTCCTTTATTTTCTTCGTACATCTGTAGCATCCCTGAGCCACAGGTATGGACCAGCACCCTACTTGTGACAGGGTCTGTACACACGGACCCAAGAGACCATCCCTGCCCTAGAGAATTCATGGTCCAAGTCAGTGGGACCATGAGCCTGTCTCTGGGGCGGGCATGGGCAGAGCTGGCCAACCCAATTTAGCATCCCGGGCCTGAATATCCACCTCCCACCGAAAGCAAGGGAACAAACTATTCCCACAGGGATCAGGGACCCTGTTAGCTGGTTGAATCCAGACACAAGGCCTAACTTAACCCCGATTTGATGAGCTTAGGGGACAGCGCAGCAGAGCATCAGGAGTCCGTGCGCATTAAACTGCCCGAGGTCACTGATCGCCGAATGACTGAGTGCTCCTTATTCCCCAGTTCAGGGATTGCTTAGTCTTGCTTCTGCAGCAGCAAGGGCTGAGCTAGGCCTGGATTTACAAAGGTATTGAGGTGGAAGCAGAATTGGGGAATATGGACCGGAGAAAGGTATTTAGGAGCTCCTCTCGTGAACTGCCCGCGACTGAAAGCGATGAGAAAGTCTGGCGGTGACAGAGAAGGCGCAATCCCAACCTTGCGCCGCAGGCTGCGAGGCGCAGCCAGGATGCGAGCGTCACGCTGGGTGCAGGCAACGAAGCAGCAGCTCCAAGAGGCTTCCAGCGTGCGGCACTTGGACGGAGAAAGCCCGAGAGGAAAGCAGCTCTGTCGCATTCAGCTGAGATCCACGTGCGCAGCGATGCGCTGTAGCGATGGCCGTCGGCCGTTTGCTTCCTGCTTGCATTCCCTGCTGATGAAACGGCTTGATTGTCCAAGCATCCATTGCTCAAAGGTTCAGGTGTGAACCCCCAGATCGCGTTTAGGAGCCAGGCAGGTGAGAAGCAATCACAACAGATAGGCCCCGACCTGCGCAGAAGCACTGTCAGCCTTGCCGGCAGAGTCATAACGAGACCCGACGGCTGGGAGTAGAAGCCAGCCTGATTCAGCCCAGATGTGCAAAGCAACTCCTGGCTGGATGCACATCTGTACAGCTGACCGCGAGGGGACTGGGGAGGATTTGAGGCATGAGATTGCACAGCTCATCTTGGATCCTGGGGAAAGATCTAGGACCCGGGGAAAACCTGCGCACAGAGGGTCAGACGGAAAGGCGGGGGAATCGACACGTCGCTAGCATAGGTGCCAGGAGGTGCTCAAAACCAGGGGAGATCAGGCTGTGCAGCACAGGCAGTGATGCACGGCCCCTGAGCTCGGCCTCGTCCATGAGGACAGCACGGAGCAGGCATCCCGCATGTCCCCTGTGCTCTGGGGAGGTCCCAGCCCTGAACTGCACACTTCCAGGTGCGGGTCTCGCTCAGCACAGCTGCAGCTGCGAGGGGCACAGCGAGCTCCCGGACAAGCGAGCCTGCTTGGACATCAAGCCCCTGGCAGCTGGAGGCCGAGGGGTATCGTCAGATCCTCCGGGACTGTCCTAAATCTGCCAGGGAGACTCCAACCACTGGCTTCAGCGAGCACGGCATTAGACCCATGCCAGGCCCTTTGCAAAAGCCTCTCCTATGCTTGTTATTGAAGGCTGCATATTTGCAGTGCCTCTCCCTGCAGGCAAAGGAGCATGCTAAGCTGCAAAAAACCCATGAAACGGCATGATTTTTCTTCTTTGCCAAGGGGAAGCCTCAGACAGAGAGACTAAGGGGTGCACTCAGCATCTCGCAGGATGCCGGCGTGCAGCCAGAACCTCTTGGCTCCGCTGCTCTGCTCTCGCTACAAGGCCGTGCTCCTCCTGCGGCCCCGGGAGCGGGCTGGTGACACAGACGGCAAAGTGTTGGCCACCGGATAACACCACAATGACGACTCTACCCCTGTAAAGGGTCATATTAGCAACAGAGAGAAAAACCAAGGGTGGTACAGGATACTGCAGCAATGAGGGGCTTTTCATTAAGGGGTTTCAAAGGGCTCTGCAAACAGAGGATGAAACCTCTTTGAAGATGAAGTTCCCGACTGAGGGTGCCTGAGCAATGCCGGCACTGCAACATCCTCTTGTGGCATCTGCGGTTACTACCGCGAGATGCCCGTGCGAGGGAGACAGCCAGCACTCCTGCTCCCCGTGGCTTTTACATCACTTACCAGCACTTACCTCCATCGTTTGCAATCGTTACCTATTCAGATGCATGGTCCTGCAAACAGCCCTTGCAGATGATTTACCCGGTGCAGTAGTTGTGTGACGGGCTGGCTGGCAGTGACCTGCCCCAGGGGTTTTGCAAGGGCAAAAGATGATCGGAGGACTTGGGATTCCCTTTCCGCACCAATCTGGTAATGATTTGGC